AAGTGGTGGGAGGCGGAGAAAGCAAGGCATCTAATCCCAATTTGACCCTGGTTGGATACTGGTCATTTTTTGTCAAAACACTTCATTTTTATCCCGACAACAGAAAACACACAAAAAAAAATCCATGACAGTTTCAGACTCAGGTCTCTTATGGTCTCTTGTTGTTTTGTTCCATCTTTTTCCCCATTTCCCATCTCCACTCGCGAAAATTCTCCAGCGGCAGTTTTCTCCAGGTCGCCCCGATGACGGTGACCAAGAGTACGGACGGCCTGAGCACATGTGCCCAATTGAGCGCCCCAGGAACCTATTGCCCAGGAGATACTTGGCTCTCCGAATCACCATAAAGATACATATGCTGGTGATTTAATGTGTTCTTTAAGAGTTGTCCTACTCCACCGGATGGATATCTTGTCGGAATTTGTGTTTTTTTTGTGTTTGTGTTTGTTGTTTCTATAAGTTGTATTGATTCAATAATATATATACATATAATATCATATATATATATATGATTGTATATATATATATTATGTATACATATATTTATATAGAGAGAGAGAGTGTGATACAAACATATATATATATGCATATACATATATAATCCATTTATATTTATATATATATATATATATATTTACTTATTAGTGTATATATACATATGTAGTGTAATGCTATATATATATAATTTACACACATAATGTTATTTACAAATATATTCTGTTGTGCAAAAGGCGATGTTTCTGGCATTCTCTATCATGCATCCGGACAGATGGAACAATATCTATACGGATCAAGGTTCTGGACGAGGACATCTGTGTTTGATTTTAATTGTATACGAACTTGCAGCACAATGTCTGATTAAAAACTTGATATATATATATATAATGAATTTTATGACTTTCCATTCAGTTGGGAATGTCAATGTCATAATCCCAACTGACAAGCTCCATCTTCAGAGGGGTAGGTATACCACCAACCAGGAATCATATCAATCCATGGAAGATCCATCTAATAACCCTCAATCATGTCCACGATCAACATGATCAACATGATCAACAGGATCAACAGGATCAACTGGTTGGTGTTTGGAACATGTTTTTTTCCATATATTGGGAACGTCATAATCCCAACTGACTTTCATATTTTTCAGAGGGGTAGGGCTCAACCACCAACCAGTCAACATTTGGATGGCTATACCATCCAATATGAAAATCTAGGAAATCCATCATCATATCTGGGTGAATTACACGGACCTCACTGGTCACGACCGAAACCTGGAATCATGGGAATTGGATGGAATTGGGTGAGTTTCAGACCCCAAGTATTGCAGTAGAATGGAACAGATAGCATGTTTATGTTTCTATCAACAAAAAAGTGCTATCGTCAAAACATGCACCATGAGCTAAATCATATTGTTGGTGAAATGTATCCCATAACGTCCCTTTTTATATTATATTGTATCCCATCATACATCCCATTATATCCCCAGATTTTGTCATGCAGATACCTTCTGGAAATCAAACGTGGCAATTGAAAGTCCCGTAGCGGGGAAAATCATCTCTAAATGGGCAGTTTTCCGGCCACTCACGGTTGACATCCCCAGTCACTGGCTGCCCGTTTGGATGGTGAAACCGCTATGGTTATCAAATGAACTTGGTGATATCTTCCCCTAACTCACCATTCTTCTTGGTAATTAATTAATCTTTCTGTTCCTATTCCTATACCCATATGCTCCATGTATGGAATATTTACCTACATTTACCCCAAAAATCACCCAAATGTAGGTAAATCTTCCATACATGGATCCTATGGGATCTTTCCATGGCTATGTTAAATAACCAGATGGTAATTATCCACACATCTTTGAAACAAAATCGTCATCTTTAGTTAGCCAATATCATTTTTCCAATTTAGTTATCCCAATTTATCATATTCCCATAGGTTATACATCATATTAAGTTACATAAGTGATTACCCATTATACATGAATATCAAGTTATATTTAACATTTAACCATAATCATTAATACACCATATAACTTGAAAAAACAAAATCCCAATTTAGTTTTCCCAATTTATCATATTCCCATAGGTTTAACATCTTGAATAACATCTTTCAATAGCAAAATCCCCATTTTTCCCAGTTCGATCCCCATCTTCGCCCAGAAAATCTTCGGCACCGGCGAGCCGGACCGCTCCGCACCGTCCGGCTGCGGCTCGGTGACGGCCATCAGCGGCACCGTCGTCACGCAGGCGGCGCAACGCGTTGCCCCGCGGTGGTTGCGGGTGAAACGCACCATGTGGGGCCCCCGTTTAACGGAAAAACCATAGGAAAAACCATTGGAAAATTGGGATTTCATGGGATTTCATGGGATTTATGGTTGATTTATGAGAGCTAAGTTGGTTTCTGATAACTTCAAGAACTTTGGTTTCCGATACCTATAACTATAGACTATAGTATTCATGGGGCTTATAAACCAACAAACATAAATGTGGGGGCCGCACATTGAAGTGATGCAACCTTAACCTGGCTCTGAAGATGAATGATGGTTCAGTGACGGTTTGATGATGGTTTAATGATGGTTTAATGATGGTTTAATGATGTTTAATGATGTTTAATGATGGTTTAATGATGTTTAATGATGGTTTAATGATGGTTTAATGATGGTTCAATGATGTTTAATGATGTTTAATGATGGTTTAATGATGGTTTAATGATGTTTAATGATGTTTAATGATGTTTAATGATGGCTCAATGATGTTTAATGATGGTTTAGTGATGGTTTAATGGTGTTTAATGATGGTTTAATGATGTTTAATGATGTTTTAATGATGCTTAATGATGTTTAATGATGGTTTAATGATGTTTAATGATGGTTTAAGGATGGTTTAATGATGTTTGATGATGTTTAATGATGGTTTAATGATGTCTAATGATGATTTAATGCTGGTTTAATGATGGTTTAATGATTGTTTAATGATGTTTCATGATGATTTAATGATGTTTTAATGATGTTTTGTGATGTTTAATGCTGGTTTAATGATGGTTTAATGATGTTTAATGATGGTTTAAGGATGGTTTAATGATGTTTGATGATGTTTAATGATGGTTTAATGATGTCTAATGATGATTTAATGCTGGTTTAATGATGGTTTAATGATGGTTTAATGATGGTTTAATGATGTTTAATGATGTTTAATGATGTTTAATGATGGTTTAATGATGGTTTAATGATGGTTCAATGATGTTTAATGATGTTTAATGATGGTTTAATGATGGTTTAATGATGTTTAATGATGTTTAATGATGGTTTAATGATGTTTAATGAATGTTTAATGATTGTTTAATGAAGGTTTAATGATGGTTTAATGATGTTTAATGATGTTTAATGATGGTTTAATGATGTTTAATGATGTTTAATGATGGTTTAATGATGTTTAATGATGGTTTAAGGATGGTTTAATGATGGTTTAATGATGGTTTAATGATGTTTAATGATTGTTTAATGATGTTTAATGATGGTTTAATGATTGTTTAAGGATGGTTTAATGATGTTTAATGATGGTTTAATGATGGTTTAAGGATGGTTTAAATGATGTTTAATCATGTTTAATGATGGTTTAATTATGTTTAATCATGGTTTAATGATGGTTTAATGATGGTTTAATGATGTTTAATGATGTTTAATGATGGTTTAATGATGTTTAATTATGGTTTAATGATGGTTTAATGATGGTTCAATGATGTTTAATGATGGTTTTTGGTAGTGGTGACGTCTGGGGGAAAATGATGGTTTTTGGATGGTTTAAGGGGATATCAATGGGGATGGCCGAAAAATCCAGGGGTCTGTTCTGGTGTGTTGAGACTGGTGGTGCTTCTCTCTGCAAGGATAGCATCATGCGAGACCTCTCCCAGATGATGAAAGATTCAGAGGAAGTTTCGACAGCCAGAATCACATGGGGTTGAAATTTACTTGACACCGCTTCTGATTCAGATCGGACGCTCAGAGGGCAGATGATGAGCCCAAGAAAGAAAATGAGGATGAGGGCGGCCCGCCCATTTCTGAAGAGGGATGACCAAATTCATGTGATCGGTCGTTTCTTGAGCCCATGGCAATAGCCCTCCATGCAGAACGGGTCCGGGCGCTGATGGAAAGCTTCCGGATGCCAGCGTGAAAGTCTTGGTCTGCGCAGCCGACGCCAGAAAGCTCCTGCAAAGCAATCCCATTTGGAGGGTATGCCAGACATTCTGCTATATGATGAAGTGGAAAACACAAGTTTGGGAGAGGTCAAGAAAGCTTGGCGGTGCGCTTCAAGCAGTTGATCATCGCTGTGAGGCGAGTGGAATAACACAACCCCAAACACGATGCAGACAAACGTGTTTGTTTAAGAATATTGTTAGTTTCATTGGGTTTTGGAAGTGTTACATCCAATTTAATTTTATTTGAACAGGATTTTGTGTCCAGTCAGGTGGGAATTTCAGAAATGAATGTCCTCGATTTTGTACTGGTGGATGTTGTTTGTAAAACATGGTCTGTGGGTTTCAACTGTTTTTACGACAACACGGTTGATGTTCAACATGTGCTTCACCACTTGGATAAAGACAATTAGTGATACATTGGCTAGATACTGTTTATGGACGAACTCCTGCACCAGTTCGTAGATGACGATGTCTCCCACCACTATCCCAGATTTTTTGGGGGGAGTTCATAGTTTCACTACGACCCATAGTTCCCAGCTGTTTCCAGATGTTCATGGATTTTCTCAATCCACACTAGCTCACGATCAACCATCCCCAATGGAGGCCCGGAAGGCTTGTTTTTTTTGGGGATGGCATTGGGTGAATCCCAGGACCTTTGGGGCCCGTTGATGCCCTTAATTTACTGAAAAGTGTATATGACAAGCGACGTTTTCGCAGTCCATTCAATACAATCGCCAGAATAAGACTCCCATGTGAATTTCTGGTTGGTGGTTTGGAACATGAATTTTGTTTTCCCATGAATTTGGGAATAATCATCCCAACTGACGACTCATATTTTTCAGAGGGGTTGAAACCACCAACCTGATTTTTTTTTAATGTGGTTGGATGAGCTCCAGAGGCATGGTATGCACAGGGGCATACCCGGTGCTAGTGCTATTGAGGTGATGGCTTCGGCCTTCCAGCTACAGTAGTACTTGGGGGTGCGGTTCCACTCGTTTTTCTGGGTTAACCATCTAAGTGGGATATTTAACTATAATTGCGGGGCTTATATCCCAACATATTCCCACTTGCGGGGGTTTTACCACAGTTTTTTTCGGTTATACCCAGTAATAAACCCAACTCCACCCCCAAATAAAGGGAATCATCCAGGAAATTGTCCATGTCCTTTAGGAATTCTCATGAAAAACGCGCGGATTCTTAGTTTAGCCACTTAGATTTGGGTTTGGGATGCCTTCAGTTGAATTGACTATCTATGTGTATCATAGCACAATACTTAAAGATGTAGATAATGGATGATAATGGATTTATTTCTATATATATATATTGAATTATCAAAGATCTCCTCGTTTTCATGGATGTTTTTCCAGAATTTCCACATTCTATCTATTTAAGGATGCCTAGATTCCTATCAATGGCCATTTCAGGCACCGATTGATTGGAGGTACCAATCCCATATATTTTTGGCCTATTTTTTAGACCTATATTAATGGTACGTTTACGTGCCTCCTTCTGTATTGGATCCTGAGTCATTCATTGATTCAGTTGTGATATTGAAGTTATTGAAGTTATAAATCAACTTAGCTATCGAACGGGGGCCTCACATTGTAGATTCCTACAATGTGAGGCCCCCAAGATAGCGTTCAGTTGGTTTATAACTCCAATAACTATGGTTTATGGTACTTGTAACTATAGTTACTGGGGCGAATCTAAACCAACTTATAACTGGGGGGCCCCACATTGTAGTAGATCTGGGATATTTCTGGTCCAGTCCCGAGTCCGAGGCGGCAGTTCTGAAGGCTGCAGGTCCTGTGAGCCTGTCAGGTGGGAAGCTCAGCGCCAAATTCTGCGTGGAACACCAGAGGGAGTTTACCCGGCCTGGTAAACGAATGGAGGTTTAATGGGTTTAATATGGTTTAATATGGTTCAATATGGTTTTTTAGGGATGATAATGGGATAATACTGGGATATTGATGGATATACTCTCTGGAAAACTCACATAGCTATTGAAAATGGCCATAGAAATAGTTGATTTACCTATGAAACATGGTGATTTTCCATAGTTATATTAGTTTACCAGAGTTTCGGAGGTTTTAGCCTCTGATTGATTATTATGGTTACTATGGTTTTAATGATTTTAATGGTTGATTATTACCCATAATTATATTTACCCTCTGGTTTTCAATGGTTAATAATGGTGAATAATCACATTGGTAATATAAGACTATTAGTAATGGTTAATCTAGCTATGGATAATCACCATCTTTGATAGGTAAATCAACGAACTAACTGACCATTTTCAATAGCTATGTAACAAATTACCAGAGGGTAATGAGAATAATGAGAGTTGTTTCCTGCTGGTTTATTGGGATCTTAGTTTCATGGAATCTCAAAGGATTTTCTATGGGATGTTCCAAGAAACGCAGTGGAATAGGATAGTTCTAATGGAAAATGGGATTCTCCATCTTGATGTGCATGCTCATTGGATTTTAAAGCCCACTTGCACAGCCAAGTTTAACTTTCGGAAATGTAACTTGTTTCGTCGTCATTCGGATCATCACCCGGATGATATTTAAGACCTATTTGGAAGATATTTGCTGAAGTACATCGATCGATTTTTCGACGCTGTGAATGGGGAAATTGGATGAAATTGCTAGTGGGGTCGTGCCATACTGTGCGACAAAATCCTGCACAGTTGGCAAATATTGCTACCTTTGAAAACTTGTAAATAATGGGATGAAATGGGATACATTATCTATCAACTGCTGCAGGATTTTGTCCAACATATTTTTGAGACAAACCCTCATGGTGATGTGACAGCCATTGGGATGTGGCTTGTGGCTTTGATCTCACTGGGTATCATCAAACATGGCTGAAAATCCCCGAACTCAATGGAAGTTTTAAAGTGTTACCCTCTGGTAAACTAACATAAGTAACATAATATATGGAAAATCACCATGTTTCATGGGAAAATCCACTATAAATGATCATTTTCAATAGCTATTTTGACATTACCAGAGGGAATGGGAAAATCATTCCATTGCCACGTTTGATGCACGGTGTTGCAGGGGGTAAATGCAAACCGCAGCACCAAAAAAGAGACGAACTTGGGAGCGATGCAGAACAAAAACATGTCAAGGTTGATAATGTTTGATATGAAAAATGGGATCCCCAAATTGATATTGATAATGTTTGATGTTGGACAATGTAGGATTATATTTTTTAATTGAATGTGATCTGTTTGATGATGCTGATCGTCATTGCAGATCGGTTTTGGGCATGGCTGCTGGTTTCCGATCAAACAAATTGTGGTCACCAGTGTTTTTTGGTCGGGAAATATGTGAGATGGGTGCCCAGTTTGCCACTTGGTTGCTGATAATTACTACTTGGTGGCTCATCCCACTTAGTAAGTGGGTTATAACCCCAGTCATAAATGGGATAAGTAGGGTTAATCCAATCAAAAAACTGGTGGTATAAACCATCTTACACAATTGGGGGCCACATTGTAGATATGATACGATTCATGATGGGACTTCAAGAGCTTGCTCCTTAGTACACCGTGAAATCTGATCATGCTTTTGAACAAGGAACCTTCTACAACCCATAGGATCCATGGTGCTGCTATGGTAACATGGATCCCATCAATATACCCCAGTCCTGTTAGCATTAATATACCAGCACCATGGATCCTATGCGCATTTGGTCCTCCTTTTTGGCTGATGTTTCCATTGCGATGGAAAAGACTCTCATGGTTGTTGGTCGTCTCTCTGCGCTTCTTTTTTGTTGTGTTGTTCATATAGTTGTTGCGAATACCCGCTTATTGGTTCATAATTCCTAGGCCTTCATGCCTTTTTCCGGCTGGATTGGAATGGTTCTTTCAATCATTCGTCCAAATGGTAAAGAAACATAATTCAATGGTGAAACATTCATTGAAGTTAATGGGATATCATGATATCATCTTTATGATATATTCATTGGATATCCCCCCATGGAAAATCGTCATGAATCAACATCTTGCCGTGGTGAGGTCTGGTAAAGATTGGTGAGACAGTGTCCTCTGATGCTTGGCGGCTGCGGGCATGGGACGGTGAGTGATACCAGCAGTTTACTTCATGAATCTCAAGAGATTGGGTTCCCACAATTGCATATTTTGGTACTTACATAGGCTATTGGCAACAACCAATTAGAACTGGGAAATGTTTGGATGTATTCGTGGGAAATATTCTTGGGACATGCAACTGTTCTCTGTAAATGATGACCTGAGGCATGTTTGCAAGTTTACGCAGGAGTCAGTGTTGACTAAGAAGCCCTGGATTTTAGGAACGGAAGCAGCGAAAATCGGATGGAGTGAGCCGGCCGAATTTCTGAGAATGAATGTTTCGAGTGGCCACTTGAAATCCGGGAGATTTCTTCACAAATTTCCCCTCTACAGGAGGTCCAAAAAACAAAGACATGTCCATGCTACAATCCCTCAGGCGCAGCTTGGGGAGATATGATGTCGGGTGATGTCGGGTGCACGGCATCAGTTGGGTTGCAAGTCCTAGTCAGCAACCTTCCAGTTATGGTATTAATTTTGTCTGGATAGAAATCACTTCCATATACCAAATGATTTCTGCATATCATCACGGAGCTCTAACTTGCGGATTCGGTAGATGGATGGTATGAGTATCCCAGTTTCTGTGTGGCTGTTTAAAAAGTTGGATTATATAATTGTATTGGTGAGGCGGCCGTACCTCACATACCATTTTTCACATAGACTTGCTGAGTCGGTGATGAATTATTTTCCAAATCTTGGTTAGACGACCTGAAAATGGGAAGTCCGCTGGGATTATGTTTTATGATATTGGCACCTCTTTTGCGCAGATCCAAGACATGAAAAAACAGCCTTCCCCAATCCTTAGCCAAGTTGCTTGGGATAGATTGAGTAGGCGTTATGGTAGATATATCATATATCTATAGTTAGATTTAGACGGGTTTACACAACAAGTAAACCGGGGGTAGCACTGTGTATCCATGTGCGGTCTATCCTATCAGATTGATTTTTTTTGAATCCACTTAGTCTATCAGCAAGCCACCAGGTTTAAAAATTGTTTATACCGAGCATTATCCATTTACATTAAAAAATCTGATAATTATCCATTTACATTAAACATATTAAAAATTTGGATATCCATCATTGTTTATACTGGTGATTGTTTTATACCAATGTTTTTACAAGTGGTTTATCCCATTATATCTCAATCACCAGTTGCTTATCAGCCATTGAAACATTTGAAACCCATCACCAGTTGACCGCCATCTTTGATACTAGTGATATTCCTATGATCTGGTTGTAACATGTTGTAACCCATTTTTCTTCCCTGATTTTTCACACCTAAATCCCCGGTTGACTGACATGTTTCTTGGTGCCACATTGTACCGAGGATGGCTTCGCGCCCCAAGCGGTCTACATCAGCTCATCCGGCACTGTGCAGAGTGTGGAGGAGAGTGCTGCGGAATGCTGCGGAATGGTGCTGCGGATTTGGCGAAAGCAGCACATTGTCTCGTGAATAGTAGATAATAGTAGTAGTTACGAAGGGATCTAACTATATTAACCACTATTAACAACTATTAACAACTATTAACCACTATTGCTAAGGGATCTAAAGGTAACAATAAGCATCACTTTTGTTTGTAGTTGCCACGGAGTATTATAGTTGCTATGCATTATGATAGTGTAGTTTGATAATGGGAATAATAGCAACAATAGCAATAATAGTAACAAGAGTATGATAGTAGTAGTAATAATAGTAGTAATATGAAGCATAGTAATTATTAGGAGTTATTGTAACGATGCGCATCGCTACTACATAGTTGCTATGGAGCATAGTTGGTTGCCATGCGTTAAAAATGTATTTTAATAATGCCAGATAGTGCCCGGCACGCACCGGGGAGGAAGTCACGAAAATAGGAAATTCTTCAATACATCAATGGTCTACAGGAAAGTTTTTGCGATGCAGAAGCAATGCACTGTTCAAGCCGTGAGGTGCATCAACGAATGAGAATGGTGGTTGAGATGGTAATGAAATGAAAGAATCCATGGACAGCTCATTGAATCAGCCAATGAATCAAGGATTCAGCGAATCAGAGGATCAATGAATCAACAAATCAACAACTAGACGACGGATGGCCCGAGAGCGTAGAGGAGCAGAGTCTTCTGTTGTTAGTATGGAGACACTATATTACAAGATAATATATTAAAGATGTATTATAGGCAGACGAGAAGAGTAGTATCAAGACAATATATGACTAGTACAAGACAATAGTTTGCATCGTATTTTTGTAAAGTTGTTCATACACAGAACTTTTTACAGACAGACGCTTTTGCACACAGAGACTTTTACACACAGAGACTTTTACACACAGACGCTTTTACACACAGACGCTTTTACACACAGACACTTTTACACACAGAGACTTTTACACACAAACACTTTTACACACAGACTTTTACACACAGACGCTTTTACACACAGACGCTTTTACACACAGACGCTTTTACACACAGACGCTTTTACACACAGACGCTTTTTACACACAGTCTTTTACACACAGACGCTTTTACACACAGACGCTTTTACACACAGACGCTTTTACACACAGACGCTTTTACACACAGACGCTTTTACACACAAACGCTTTTTACACATAGGTTCTTTTACACACAGACGCTTTTACACACAGACGCTTTTACACACAGACGCTTTTACACACAGACGCTTTTACACACAGACACGTTTACACACAAACGCTTTTACACACAGAAGCTTTTACACACAGAAGCTTTTACACACAGACGCTTTTACACACAGACGCTTTTACACACAGACGCTTTTTACACATAGGCTCTTTTACACACAGACGCTTTTACACACAGACGCTTTTACACACAGAGCCTTTTACACACAGACGCTTTTACACACAGACGCTTTTACACACAGACGCTTTTACACACAGACGCTTTTACACACAGACGCTTTTACACACAGACGCTTTTACACACAGACGCTTTTACACACAGACGCTTTTACACACAGATGCTTTTACACACAGACGCTTTTACACACAGACGCTTTTACACACAGACGCTTTTACACACAGACGCTTTGACACACAGACACTTTACACACAGAGGCTTTTACACACAGACGCTTTTACACACAGACGCTTTTACACACAGACGCTTTTACACACAGACTTTTACACACAAACACTTTTACACACAGACGCTTTTACACACAGACGCTTTTACACACAGACACACAGACGCTTTTACACACAGACGCTTTTGCACACAGTCTTTTACACACAGACGCTTTTACACACAGACGCTTTTACACACAGACGCTTTTACACACAGACGCTTTTTGACGATCGACCTTCATTTCGTGCGAAAGGGTTGCTCCAGGACAAGTAAACTCGCAATTTTTCAGTTTTTGATCGACCCTTGCATTTCGTGCGAAAGGGTTGCTTGCTCCAGGACAAGTAAACTCGCAATTTTTCCTCAGTTTTTGACGATCGACCCTCATTTCGTGCGAAAGGGTTGCTCCAGGACAAGTAAAATCGCAATTTTTCCTCAGTTTTTGACGATCGACCCTCATTTCGTGCGAAAGGGTTGCTCCAGGACAAGTAAACTCGCAATTTTTCCTCAGTTTTTGACGATCGACCCTCATTTCGTGCGAAAGGGTTGCTCCAGGACAAGTAAAATCGCAATTTTACCTCAGTTTTTGACGATCGACCCTCATTTCGTGCGAAAGGGTTGCTCCAGGACAAGTAAATCGCAATTTTACCTCAGTTTTTGCCGATCGACCCTCATTTCGTGCGAAAGGGTTGCTCGGGGACAAGTAAATCGCAATTTTCCTCAGTTTTTGACGATCGACCCTCATTTCGTGCGAAAGGGTTGCTCCAGGACAAGTCAAATCGCAATTTTACCTCAGTTTTTGACGATCGACCCTCATTTCGTGCGAAAGGGTTGACGTTTCGTGACTCACCGCCGGCACCACCCTCGGCCTTAAGAGAGAAAGATAAAAAGAAGGCGTGAGAGAGAAAAAGGAGAGAGAAAGGAGAGAAGATGTGAAGGTGAGAAGATGTGAGAGAAGGTGTGAAGTTGAGCAGATGTGAAGAGGAGCAGATGTGAAGATGAGCAGATGTGAGAGAAGATGTGAAGATGAGCAGATGTGAAGATGAGCAGATGTGAGAGAAGATGTGAGAGAAGATGAGCAGATGAAGATGTGAAGATGAGCAGATGTGAAGATGAGCAGATGTGAGAGAGCAGATGTGAAGATGAGCAGATGTGAAGATGAGCAGATGTGAGAGAAGATGTGAGAGAAGATGTGAAGATGAGCAGATGTGAAGATGAGCAGATGTGAGAGAAGATGTGAGAGAAGATGAAGATGAGCAGATGAGAGAAGATGTGAGAGAAGATGTGAAGATGAGCAGATGTGAAGATGAGCAGATGTGAAGATGAGCAGATGTGAGAGAAGATGTGAAGATGAGCAGATGTGAGAGCGATGTGAGAGAAGATGTGAAGATGAGCAGATGTGAAAATGAGAAGGTGTGAGAGAAGGTGTGAAGATGAGAAGGTGTGAAGATGAGAAGATGAGATACAGACCCCCACTATTGGAAGAACCCTGCGCTCAGACGCTCTCGGGAAAAACCATCAAAACCTTGGTTGGTTGGACAGGTTGGTAATGGTTATTGCTACAAATGAGGGTTTGTCAGAATGTATATACATATTTGCTTATATATTTACATACTATCCAGCTATAAAGAAAATGTGTGTTGCCGGGGTATCTGAGATTGAGCCTTTTTTGTCCCCAGTATCCATCCACTGACACGTCATGTCTAGGACTTTGCTGAAACCGCCCAACAAGCCACTGGGCGATGCAACAGCCGCTGATGGGAGGGTCAGGACTACACATTGATACAAGGTTGGGCCCCCTAGGTAGAAGTTGGCTTATAAACCCCATGAATTATAGATAAATCTACACTAAAACAAGATTAAGCTACTTGTAAACAACTTTAGCTATCTAGGGGACCACAGCTTTTAGTTGTTTGAAGGCTGGCATGGTTCGGAATGGTGGTGAAATATCTTTATCTTTGGTGAGATTGATACCCTGCAACAAGCGATGCAAGCATGTTCGTGGTTTTCAGTCGCAAAAATTCATGGGAAAGGTGACACCGCAGCATTCCATTACTGTCCCCAACTGGGAGTGGAGGATAATCCCAAGGATCCTGACTGGTCAACTCCAAAAATGGCGAGCTGAAATCCGTAGGTCCGGTAATTTTGATCAGCCGAGAGCTCGCTTTTGATGCCCAGTAGGAGTGGTTTGCTGCTTGATGACAATCGATTTGCATCGTATGTGGGACCATTTGATGTTAATTCAATTGTGGAGCTGATGCAAAGCTACCTATCTCAAAATATTTGCCCCTTTGGGCTTCAAACAGAAACCCAAGGAAAATACCAATCATATGGTTGGTGGATACCCCGGATGCTGCTGAAATGGCCAAGCGTTCATAGATTTTTTTGGGGGGTCGAAGCAGAAGTAGCTTGAAGTAGACTCAGTCTGAAACGTTTTTGTTTCTCCTATGATAACGCCGAAACCATGGGTTTTCCTATTGGAAACGATGCTAATTCTGCATGTTTTGGTGGTCACCCAGTTTTAATAAACTACTCATTCCCGGAGTTCCCTTGGTTTATATTCATAGTATTCATGGACCATTATCAATGGGCTTTATAAATCAACAAAAATAACTAGGGGCCCTACAATATGTGGGGACTTGTAGGGGACTTGTAAAAAACCAGCAGCGTCTAGGTGGGATGAACAGTTACTACTTGACGACCAGTTGCATCCATTTAGACTGGTTGGTGGGTTGGAACATGTTTTATTTTCCATAATATGTTGGTACCCCAATCATGAGATAGTTAATAGAGGTTAATAATAATACAAAACTGGTTGGTGGTTTCAAACCTGAATTTTCTTTTCCATTTCATATATGGGATAATCCTTCCCATTGACGAACTCCATCATTTTTCAAGATGGTTATTGCACCACCAACCAGTAGAATGAATCTCCACCATCCCTGGTTGGTTGGTGGTGACTGGAACCATGGTTTATTTTAATGACTTTCCAGAAACAGTTGGGATGAATGGATTATAGTGGCTTAATAGATTTTAATGATTTTTTCGATTCAGTCGGGATCCCAACTGACTTTATCTCCATCATTTTTCAGAGGGATAGGTGGAAACCACCAACCAGCAGTCATACTGTTGTGAAATACACACCAGTCGTGAAAATTGTGGTGAACTCAGACACTGACCTCCAATGGATAGATCACCCATTCTTAAGGTTGGATGGTTTATCGTGCTGGCTTTGCCACAGTTGACGTGGCGCCATCCAACTGACACACGAGGGGACTTGAACGAAAGTCGGGGGCCAATTCACTGTGTGTCGGGGGCCTGCTTTCGTAATGCCGAGATTCTGTAACAATGCTGAGATCACTGTTGGCAAATCAACGAAAATGCGAAAATGCGTGGCCGATTCAAACCTGGTCGGCCATCACGCCGACCCATGGTCGGGATCATTGGTCTGCCGGACATCTGTCAGGGCCCACGGCAAAGTGACGTGCCATTGATTGTCCAATGTAGCATTTGGCGGAGCATGTGGAAAAAAAAGTCACGGTTTTCCCTCAAGTGTGCAGGTTCATGAAGGCTCCAAGGGGTCAATTTTTGCACTGATCGTCTCCTTTATACGTGTGTTGGTATAAACCCATCGAAGTAGTTCGATATATTTTCCATAAACCTTGTCAACCCACTTTGAAACTAACTTAGCAAACTATGGGGCACCAGCTTGTAGATTCCCAACATGATGACGTTTGCCAATTTCTGTGTTCAGTCAGATTCCCTATAACTACTAGGTTGGCAGTTTAAAGTGTACCCCAAATATCCCAATGTTTATCATCAGTCTCCCTATTTAGCTTGGTATCTTGGGCTATACCTTAATCACCGTTTTATATAGATGATGTACATCATTAAAAAACAAAAAATACTGGGTAAATGATAACGACCTCACTGTTCTCCCGAACCCTGGAATCATGGTTAATAAGGGAAATCATCCCCAAATGGCCCAAGAATTCAGGTTCGTGAAATATTATTTCATTTACCCAGATATATCCCCATCAAATCAATGTGAATTTCAGGATCCTAAAATGGAGGTACTGTACCATATGTTTGGCCATATTTTGGGGGGATATTCCCTGAAATTTAGGTCTTACATATGCCTTATATATGGTAGGTACCTCCAATTTAGGTTGCCCATCCGAAAATAACCACAAGCTTTTCGCTCCGAGATCACTGGAACCAATGCGGGCGGCGCCAGCACGACAGTGGCCACCACGACAGTGGCCACCACCGCTGGCAGCAGCACCACGGACGAGAGCGCTGAAACCACGGAAGGCGAAGGCTGGGATGGATCATAATATTAGATATCCATCAGTAATCCATTAGTAAATGGTTGATGATGATGATGATGATATAATATATAATAATATATATATATTAAACATATTATGTGTGTGTGTATGTTTGATCGTGTTTGTGCATGATAAATTATGAATGTGGTATAACTGGTACCCATGTTGATTCTGTGGCGTCTGAAACTATGCACCCCCCATTGCCTTTTTCGGGTAGCCATGTAGAAAACACCCAGGACTTCCATATGGTTTTTATTTTATGTTTGGAGAGTCCTGCCTTTTGTTATGGAGCAGTGTTTTATAGTGTTTTATAGTGTTTTATAGTGTTTTATAGTGTTATGGAGCAGTGTTCAAATCCTCCTGTTTGAAAGTTGAACAGATTTTCAGAGTCGGAGGTTATACTCAGCTCATTTCTGTGAACAAAACAAATCGTAACATCATCCCAGTGGCTCAGTCGGCAGGAACCACGAGTCTGGACGGTGACGCGGCGGCGAACATGGAGATCAGCTATGGAAATGTCGAATCAAATGGTGGAGATCGGCGGAGATAGTGTTTATGATGTCCAACTGGAGATCTGGAAACTATCAAATCAAGAATGGGAGAATAAGAGGCCCTACTTGGGCCAGTTCACAAGCCGTTGAAAAGGCACCTAACCCTACCTGACCAAAATCTGATATAGTTAACACATAGATTTCAGCTCCATGTGCAGCTTTCAAAAAAGGAAATAACTCCCCAAGATCCTGCCCTCAGTACCTTCATGTAAGGTAGCTGAATTGGACATGACGGCTGCACGTTAATGTGATGGGTTTTCAGCAAATTGACCTCTGGAAGCCGGAGATTCCTCAGGAATATCCGCGAGAAAGGCACAACATTTAGCCGAATCACAACATGTGTGCGTACAAATATTTATTTATGCATACACATCCTGTCTATATGTAATACAATATCTATATATATATATACATACATGTATATAAATATATGTATACATATGTATATATATATACATATACATATATATATGTACAGATACATATCTAGGTCTAATGAGTTGGAATGTAACGTAAAGTAGTGTCCAGTGAAGAGTGGGTGAATGGATTTCACGGACGCATAGCAACCCCCCAAATAGATTGAAAAGTTGGCAACCTGAAAATTAGATTAGTGAAACATCGTAGGTTTCACCCCCTGGAAGCACGTCTATCTTTTTTTTCCCCACCTGCCAGGTGAGGGTCTCTAGATTTTAACAGAGGTACTACCCTCTAGTAAACTAACATAGCTATGGAAAATCACTGTTTCTAATGGGTAGATCCACCATAAATGGCCATTTTCAATGGCTATGTTAGTTTACCAGAACTCCTTCTTCCTCTCCTCCTCCGCCTCGTTCTCCTTCGTCTTCGTCCACCTTCTCCGCCTCTTGCGCCAGCTCGTCGGGACTGGCATTTTCTCGGATCCGAGCCATACGGCGAGCTCCTGGACCCGAACACATGTCAGAATATATGTCGGATAGAATGCCAGATAGAAGGTCAGAAGAATATATAAGGGTGGGGATCACTCAAAGTAAAGTAATTTGTGGTGCTATGTTCAGAACTTACCATTTGAAGTGCGTTGTCGGCTCTCCGTGTGTTAGTATCACATATCCCGTCATGGGTTTGCATCATCAGAGTTTAGCCACCACGTTTTGAAAAACTAACGATTGTAAAAAAATATCAACTGGAAATCTACTGCAGTAAAATACCTGAAGATCAGTTCTAATATATGAGTGTATTTGGCGGTACTTATAGGGGAGTCTGAAGGGGGTAAAGCCCAACTTATGAGGATATAACTTAGACCCATTGATTACCCTAGCTGGACCCCATCTTCTGCGTACTATTGGCAAAAATCCTGTATCTGTGGCTGGTTTCCATTCCCACTGGTTTCCATCCCCATTATTGATTGGTTAAATCACTTAAATCCATTCTTTCTTCAAGCATATTCAATTCCCATATTTAGATATCTTTAGCTGGTGAATTCACCATATCTAGCGGGTGAAAGCTCGATGAATACACAGATCTAGCAGGTTAAATGCAAGTTTTTAGCTGGTTATAGCCGGTTTAAATCCCCATAAAGGTGCTTAAATCCTCATTTTCCATCAGCTATTCCAATATATTTGGTGGCAAATATAGGCAAACATCCTACCTCTATGGTTTGAATCCAAATAATTACTATTTCTTACAAATACCATATGTCCCCATATTTATGCGGTCAATTTCATCGGAATAGATGGTTTACCGTTCTTAATAGCATGGGTGGATCTTTCCAGTTCGCGAACTGTCTCCAGATGGTAATTTAACCAATCCCTAGCCGCAGGTTTTCAAATTACACCATATTCAGATGGTAAGGGATCGTGGTTGTGGGTTATAACTCCAGTTATAAATGGGATAAGTAGCGTTAATCCACTTATAACTGGGGTTATAACCCACTTACTAAGTGGGATGAGCCACCAAGTAAGGATGGTTTGCGTTTTTACTTTACCAAGTTGTTTTTGTTGCTTCCGAGGTCGGGAGTCTTCGAGCACCATCAAGTTGTCCTCGAACTCCTGTGACTTGGGATATAAATTGGTAACTGGCGAGGATGGGGATCTATCGGGGTATATGGTGGTAAGTGAACATAATATCCTTATGGGATATATTGGTTATATGGGGATCTATTGGGATCTATTGGGATATATGCTGGGATCTATTGATTTCCAAAATTTAAGATGGTTTTGGTGAACATTCCACTGGGGCATCTCTCAGATGAGCTCGTTTGTCAGGAAGGCTCAGATCCCCCATAAACCGCACAACAATTTTGCCCAACATAAGTTAATACTTACCTATGGAAATATCATGGAATATATTGACATGCACAAGCTGTTTCTGGGTTTTGCTGGTTTGTTGGCCTGTTGGTTACCCTCCAGTAATCAAGCACGGCAATGGAACATCTCCATGGACGGTTTTCCCATGAAAACCTCCGTTTACAAAGGATTTCCCCTTGCCACAATTGATCACCGGAGGATATCCCCATGTCACTATCCATATATCCCCATTTCATGGTTGGTCGAATGCCATCAAATCAAGTTGTGCCTTTTTTGCTTGCTATCTTTGTTATATCTGCGCCTAAATCCAGACAGGGTACCTATCTCTACCTATCTCTTTGGAATCCCAGGGCTTCCGCAAATCAGGCCTTCCTGCGTCAATGGCAGTTGCAGCTGCATTGCTGCAACTGGTCATGTGAGGCCAGCCGGCGCAGCACAGGGAAGAACTTATATATATACATGGTATGTGCATACATTGTATAACGTTGTATATCAGTTATTCTATTTGCTATATTGTAAGTTATACATATTAACCTTGTATGTAAATTATATTGACACATTCTACATATATGTAATTATGTTGACATTGAATATCAGTTGTATAAAGTCACATTTAACATATATTTATATATGCATATGTGTGTGTTGTTTATTCAAAAAACACATATGTAATGTATAGATATATGGTAATTTATTTACAACGTGTGAATTTATTGTCTATGTATATATATATACATATTATCTATTTATTGAACGTATATTCCTTTCTTGTGTACACACGTGTATGTGTGCATTCATAAATTATAATGTGTCGACTTAATGCAAAAATGTGTAAATGTCTTACTTACATTAATATTTACAATTACAATGTATTTATATAGTATATATATACAGTATATATATACATTGACATTGTATCTACATGAATTAAATTGTAAACATATAGGTTGTTATGTATATATATATATATGTACGGTATGTTTTATTGTGCACAGGCATATGTATTACACATTGTATCTCTCCATATATAGATAGATTGTTTAATCATTTAGTTTATATTGCTTCTATTGTATATGCATTATATTGTATGCATTGTATTTTGTATTGCATACATATATGTATAATATTTTGTTTTTGTTGGATATTGGCATACATTCATATTTGCTTATCCTATGTGTACTTGTTTATATGCATATCCATAGCTGCCATAGCTCACATATTTATGTATATACACATATATATGACATGATCGATGGGCATTTCTGGTTGATGATGTTGATTGGACCTCCATTTTTGTTTATTAAAAACAATTGTTTGGTGAATATATGTGAATATTGGTTTCATTCACCAGAGGTGTGATCGGCAAGCAGGGCTAAGGCTAAATTGAGAGGATCTCACAGGTGAATGGGGACGTTTTTTTTCACACATGAGTCAGTATGGCTACAAAGTGGGCCCCTGAGATAGGGTCCAGTTGTGTATCATTGATATTTGGATGGGAAAAAATGGTGAAAATCTCCGCAATTGGATGGCTAGCTTTCTAGAGCAATAGGTGCATCACTAGCTGAGGTGTTCTTTCTAGGGGGATGGTGAACGCTTGATTTTATGGTAGAAGTATCCATAGATGGGTGCAACTAAACCAACAAACATCAATGCTGGGGTTTTCCCACCTTGCACCTTTGTCAGTTGGGGTGGTGCTTGGTTATTCATTGTTGCCTGGTAAATCCATCGTTGCATAGATGGTTTGGTGTTGTTTTTCTGTTGTCAGATTCCTTGTTAAATTTAGAGGCTGTAAGGGAACATCTGCAGGAAAAAAAGGTGTTTGCCTGGTAAGTCCTTTGTGTTCTGCGTTTTTTTTCCCTTGAAGTTACCCTATGGTTCTCTAACGTAGCTATTGAAAATTGCCCATTTATAGTTGATTTACCTATTAAAGATGGTGATGTTCCATAGTTTTTTGTATGTTTACCAGGCAGGGTAATCTTGTGATTGAACCCACCAAGGGTCGAGTCTGTCACACGAGCGGCGCCGACAGGGGAGATGTTGAACTTGAACATGCACAGCAGTTCCTTGCTGGGAGGGGGGTCATAGTTGTTGGAATCCGGGACTCGAACATGTTGAACATGACTGGTTGGTGGTGACTGGAACCATGGAATTTTGAATCACTTTCCAGAAACAGTTGGGATTAATGGATTATAGTGGTTGTTCATAGATTTTCATGGATTTTTCATGGATTTTTCCAGAAACAGTTGGGAATGTCATCATCCCAGTCCTGACGAACTCACTCCATGATTTTTCAGGAGGGTAGGTGGCTCAACCACCCACCAGATGAATCCTACAGTTTTTCCATTCAAACCTGAAAAATGTTGGATGTGAATTTCTCAGCCATGTTTTATAACAAAAGAGGCTATTAGCACACTCCACTTCCCCGTAATCAAAAAAAACATCTGGTGATTTAACATTCACAGTTCGTGAACTGGAAAGATCCACCCATGCTATTATATAGTAGGTAAAGCATCTATTTCGATTAGGGCCATCTATACCATGGCGAACTGTGAATGTCACAACCAGGTTTTGTAAGTCCAGGACGAGTCCTAGGTGTCGTTTGGGGATGTCATATTGGCACGTTTGGGGAGCTATTCGTTTGAGACCGAAGCCAAGAACCCGTTTGGGACCCGTTTGGGCTGGAAAAAGGCGATTCTCATTCTATCAGGGGAAGGTCAATGTCTGAGTGTTGAGGATTTGATGACATGTGGGGATGGATCAAAAAGTTATACCACAAGATTGGGGGCTATTTTATCATCCAGCTATACCAGCTATGACTTGGGGTACAAAATGAATCCCCAAAGGGGCTCATAGCCACTACATGCCACACATTTTTTGCATGCTGCTTGGTGGTGACTGGAACCATGGAATTTTGAATCACTTTCCAGAAACAGTTGGGAATGTCATCATCCCAACTGATTTCATATTTTTCAGGAGGGTTGAAACCACCAATCAGCATCTGATTTTACTTCATCACCCCCGACAATGTTTCCACTGACCAGATGAGCATGAGATAGATTGTTGCTATCATAACGACGACACGACCACATGTGAGCAGTGGCTGCTAGACCCGGGTTGATTGATGATTAGTTGGGGATTATACTCTGAAACCAATATATTGGGTATGTCCACGATCCATTAAGGGAGTCACTCTCAATCAACCAGTATATAGGGACGGCAAAATATGGCAAAGGGTTTGAACACTGCTCGTGTGAGGACAACCATAAATACTGATATTCTAGAAAGAATAGTTGGCAGGAAACAAGACATACCAGATATGAATCCTGATACTCCTATTCAACATCATTCAATCAGAATTCTGGGCGTTAGAACTTGTGTAGATTGCATTGGTTCCTACCACCCAAGTCAAATATATTCTGAGGTGGCACGTCGCAGGCTTTTGCAGCATGATTGATTGAGGTTTGAAGCGGTGCCAGTTTAAATTGGTACCTGCAGCAGGGGTCTAATTGTTGATATATATATATATATCCACCGTAGATCCGTTTGAGCCTGGCTTTAAAGTCAGCATATAGATTGTTTCGGGGCCCTTTGCAATCCATTTGTTTCCCTGCTGCCGTGGCAGAGTGTGTTTTCCGCACAAGGATGGTATCCGGAGGAAAGACGTAGACGTAGAAAGCATGGTTTGATACACTTGTTTGATACACTTGGGGGTGCAGTTCCAGTTAAAAGTTGTTATGTAGCCATAAAAAAAGGGGTCGAAGCGCATCAAAATCACCCCAACTCCACCCAAAAGGATGTAGTTTCCCTATAAGGTCTACAGATTTTCAGAAAATGGATCGCTGGATTGATGGAAAAAAATCGATCGTAAATAGTTTCTCTTTGGTTTCCCATATTTTCCCATGAACCAATCCGTTGACTGATAAAGTAGCTGATTGTTGGCACAATGATCTTCACCTGTCCGCTTACATTTGGCTATCGCAGATAGAACAAATGCTTAAAAGTGCGCAAAATGCAAATATGCCTGTCTGGAAACAAGGCAGTATGGCCAGTTGATATATCATTGAATGGGGAATATGATTACTAATTCGTGGATTTGAATGGTTTGGATGGATTTAAACCATTTTAATCCCTGGGCTGTTCAATTGGGAGGGACCATCGATTCGTAGCAAATGAAATCACTTCTTTGGGGGCCGCGGTGCCTGTATTTTTCATCAACCTGGACTTATTTTCATCTGGGATTCACAATAGATTTGGAATCTGGCAGCTGTGTTTCAGCAATAGATGTCGGTCATTCTCGATACCCTCTGGTAAACTAACATAGCTATTGAAAATGGCCCTTTATAGTGGATTTACCCATTAAAAATGGTGATTTTCCATAGTTACGTTAGTTTACCAGAGGGTAGTGAACCATCCCATGTTTTTTCGATACCCAGGACATCCCACGACAAACTTTACGATACTTCCCGCCGTAGTCACCTTAGGAAATGTAAGAACTCCATCATAGCGTTGCTGGGGAATACCCCCCGAATGGCCACTTTTTTGGGGAACATGATATGATGATAAATAACGATATGTTTTTGGGTACATGATTTCTGGACAAAGCCATAATGATCCAATAATCTAAAATGTAATTTATATAAATCTATACAATACATATATATATATATACATAATTTTAATATACATACTGCACATAGATTTCCCAAGTAAAAATATGCTTTTGTCAGGAATGCCAGATTTCAACCCTGATTTCATCTCCGGATTCTCAGCCAATCGCTTGGCGGCCCTCGGACAGTGTTTTTTCTCGGGTGCGGTATGGTTTGCTCGGACGGCTGGAAGGGTACACACGCGAACGGCGAACGGAAGCTCACTTTGCCCAGTGCACAGGTGTTTCCTCACTCGATCCATGTCAAAGCTAGATGATGGTTTATGATGGTTTGTGATGGTTAATGATCGTTTATGATGGCTTATGAGGGTTTATGATGGTTTATGAATATAAGTCATAATTACCTATCATAAATCATAACTATATGTGTCTAATATATACGTGTATGTATATATATATAGCATGTGATTATGTCTATATGATGTTGTCATATCTTATCATTGCTGGAAAATATCATCTGGAAATATCTCCCATCTATGGTGGCTTTCCTCTCAAAAATACGCCTAAGTTTCATGATTCGCCTCAGTCTCGCCGCGCCGGTGATGGAACAGGTTGGCAACCAGTTGGAACGGTGAATTATAACCACCTGAAAAAAGTTGGTAAATGGATGATTTTACCAGACTTTACCATGTGGTATTTTTTCTGAGTTTGCTGTCCAAAAATCACCATGTGAGTCTGTAAATCATCCCAGTTTTGCGAGATCTGTTGCAGGCATGGTTGCAGGCATGGTTGTTTCCCTGAAGATTACCTGAA